TGTACAGCTAGTAAACAAATAATGTTAATTGATTCGTAGATTAGTCGATATGAAATGATATAGATGTATTCATTATTATTATAATCAATATAAAAGTATATTCAATGCGATTAGTAAACTGATGAAAATGTTGTATGGATAATGAGTGTATTTATATAAATATATAAATGGACAACTCTTAGGTGTACACATGAGACATGTTAAATTGGAGAAGAATAATTCTACAATATTCTTCAGTTTTCAGAAAGTATCACTTTTGCATCAGTTCGTAACTTTGAATGATATAATGTTAGTATACAGTTTATATAAAAAAACAAGTAATTTAAACCGTTGTCTCATTTTACTTATAAATATAGTGCAAGATTTTTCGGTTTTAAGTTTAACAAAATGCAATCCCTTAAGATAATGCAAGTGCGAATGGTATTTCATGTTTATACTGTCAGTTCATCTCATTTAATGATATCACTTAAGATACTTTAAATGTATCCATAATTAAATACGGTTTAATAATGTCCCAGTCATCTAAATTATTTAGACAATATCTTCTGTTTAGATGATTTGTGATTGTTTAGATAAGTCAATAACAGTATTTGTGATCCTATAGTGTGATATCGTTAAGGTAAACATGTATAGATTTCGAACAAATTAACTATCAGTCATTGGAAAGCAGACTGATCCAACACTCTCTGTTCTCCACTGATGATGACATATCTTAAAGTGATATCCTTTATAGTTGTTGCAGGAGTATCCAAAAATATCTATCGTCAAAATCTTTAGAAGCCTAAAAATCATCACAGAACGTCCTGTCTAATTGGTATTGAATAGCATCTCTTCAGAAATACTTTGATAAAAAAGGAATTATGTATCGTGCTTTTTGATTGGACAGTTACCTGAACCGTTACGATATTTAGTATTTTTCAATAAGTGTTTGGAAGGCGAAGATCACATACACCTCTGTATACTCTGGATTTTCTGTACATAAAATAATTTTGAAGCAAAGCTCTCATTCACATTGTGCGCTCTTTCTCTGTTGTTCTACCTGACGTTTAGAAATTGTTTTGGGCTATAGTAAACAGCTAGGACGGAAAAAAATAAGCTTTCCAGTGGCAAATTTATAGGGTATTAGGATGAGTAATTCACAGGTATATAATTACAGAGTATACCAATTATAGCTTAGGTGAACTTGATTGTTCAGTGAGGTGGAATAAAGAGTTTAGCCAGTTTTACAATGTTTCAATTATGAAGTAATAACAAATGAAAAACTACTAAAAACCAGTTTAAACTAAACAATAATTGCACCCTAAATTCATATATCTTAAGAGTGTAAACTCACTAATCCATACCAAATCGAGCACTAGGCCTTCGATGCGAAGTACATCTTAATTATTCAACCACATATAATATCACCAAAAGTCGAACTATGACCAAGTGATAATCTTATTATAGCTCATACTTAAACTCTATACAAACAGTAGTCATGAATTACAAATAGTAATGATTATAAACTATGATGCAAACTATGATCAATGCATAGCTAAGTATAATCTTCGAAGCAGTATTTTCACAAGCAATAAACCTACATAGTTCTGTGAATATTGCCGGGTAAACTTTTCTGAACTTGAATCTTTTTAACAGCTGAACATTTTTTCATCGTATATTCATTAATATTGTCAATAGGCTATCCAGTCCTTACGCTTGTATTCCTATTTTTAAACTTAGTTTATGAGACATCTTTAAATGTAGTTCCAATCAAATTGTCATTGGTTTACCTGACGTACACATCGTTGATTCCTCTATTAGTTCTATGTAAAGGTTATTGGAATTATAGATTTCTCTCTGCTAGGTTCAGTTTATTCATAAGCTTTATAAAAACAATTCTCCATGGAATTCTTCAAAATATTTTTCGAATAAAAAGTAGACACAAATATGTGTAGATGCTATATTTATTTAATGACGACTTCTGACTTAGAATAAAACAACCATCCAACTACAAGATGATTTATTTTCCAGTTGATATCTATCACTGTCATTGTTACGGTTACTATGAAGTTATAAAAATTCTCCAGAAAACAGTGTCAGTAAATTTACTAACCACTAATAATAATAATAATAATGCTGATGACGAAATCACGATTAATATGAATAAAGCAAATTTGAAAGGGGGTTTATTTTTCATTGTATTCATTCATTCATTTTTCTTACAATAATATGTTTACTGATTTCCATAGCGAAGTTTTAGAATACTAAACTATTAGAATCAATATGGAAAGTATCTGAAATATTATTCTCAATTAAAGCACTTCAATAGCTTACGTTGTTTTGACATTATAATTCATAATCTTTGGTTTATATATATTCAGCAAATTACTGATTACTGTACATCATTCAATCGGAATTAATATTATCAGAAATAATATATTTAATTAATAAATTTAGAATAGTTGGTTATGTTAGAGATATACTAGTTCATGTTCGTCAGTTGGTCAAATTTAGTTGATATGATTCAGCAAAATATTTTCCTTGTTATATCACTGGCTATTTTGTGTTCGTTTGTGAAATAACAGCGACGACATTGTTACCATACTGGCCAATATAGAGAATTCACAGGATAATTCATGGTGAGTGACTAGGAGTAAAAGAGATGATTTGTATTTTGTTTAGTTAACTGCTTGAGAATTTCAAGATAGGTTTTAACATTATGATTCCAACAAATCACTGGTTACTTTAAGTATGACTGGGAATAAATGGGACAGGAACTTAATGATGGAGTGAGCGAAACATAATAAAATCTAAAGAAATCAAAGACACGAAATATATTAAAAATTCCCATATAAGTAAGCAGTATTGTGATCGGTTAGATCTTCATTGCTCTCTCGTGTCTAATATATAATAATGCTTATATGAATATATGAAATTAACAAACCGATCACGACAATTTACCAGTCAGTAATAAGTGTAGAATCAAAAGAACAAATTGACAGTGTTATGATAGGTGTACCGGTTATGATAAGAATTGCTGATGCCTAAATCAAGGTTTCGTAATACGAAGAAGGCCAAGCAGCTTAGAAAACTAGATGCTTGAATAGCATTCACTGGAATTATAGATTACGTAATAGGTATATTTGAAGAAAGAAAAAAAGGATATGAAGAAAAATACTCGAACAGATAAGGAGTTTAGAAAATGATGGTAATAAGTAAACGAATAAAATCTTTTATTAAAGCCAATTCGATCAAGGAAATAATAGAGGTGTTACAAATTTCATAGGAACACAGTGACTTGGATTGTTAGCTCGATTCCCTAAAGTTTTTGCTACGTGTAAGAGACAAGATCAAACTTCAAAAAAACCCAGATATACAATAAATTGCTTTAAATGATTTATTTCTATCCACTATATGACAAGTATCGATCAAGTGTGATAGAACTAGGTCGCGTATTGTTTTGACTGTGTTCATTAATTCCTTGGTTAAGTTGTCTTGTTGTATGTCTAATATTGCTTCTTCTACAGGAACAGCTGAATCCGTAGATACAGATGGATATGGTAAAACCAGGTAATTAATCTTTCGATTAAGTAATCTTCATAGGTCAGTTAGAAAACAAATGACAGATGTTAGCTGAATTAAATGTCCTCTCTGTTACTGTAGTTATATCTCCGCTGAATTGTAGCTTTAGGAATAAAATAAGTCAAATTACATTATGACTTGAATGAGTGAAATGTTATTACCTATTCAGTATTAATCGTTTAAATCCCGATTTTTTTTTAGGTCGACTTACTTGACTTTGTAAGTAATTTCGTAAATTAACTGTATGGAGTTTACTTGACAGGAATGTTCCAAAAATTAGGATTTACTATTAACACAGACTGATAACTGTTTACCGAAGGCAGTTTGGAACTTAAAGGATTAGATTCTTTCAAAAATGTAAATTTTTATGCAAATTCTTGAGTATCATCGTTATGAAATTCGTCTAGCGTGTTATTCAAGTGGTTTGAAATGACTATAAAAGAATGTACACTCGTTAGTAATTTCAACCTTATGAATAACTATTATATTTCTGTAGATATATTTGACTTTTTGTTTAGTTCTAACGAATCATGAATTCTTGCTTTAGTGAAGAGTCTTTAATGAAGGTATAAAGTCTCTTTATTATTTATTTGAACATAATATTATTTCTATGTAAATAGAATGATTGTATAGTGAAATTTTCTTCCTTCAAAATTGCCAATACATTTTCTATATGGTAGGATAAATTTATTTCCATTTTCACTGGCTTAAAATTAATAATTAGACCAGTTGGTACCAATTATGCAACTCACTAAATTGAATTGTATAAAACGTGAAAATAATTTAATCTCAGATTTACAAAATATTATTTTCAAATAGCAATTTTTCCTCTCAGATAAGAAGAAAACTGTTCTTTATTTTACATTTTATGTGATTGCAATTATGAGGCTGTAAATTTTCGATCACATGTCAAACCAATTATAATTTGTGTTTTTCCTACAAAGAGAAAAACAGAAAATGTATAGCACACTGTCTGTATGAAACTAGTTTATTATATCACTAATACTCTTTATTTACAAATTAGATGTTTACTCTTTATAACTCTTAGTAGTTGACCAAGATTTAATTTGAATTTTCATTAAATTCGTTCGGCTAGGAGTAAGATAATTTTAATTATGAGCTAATGTCAAGGTTCTGGTCATCATTTTTTTTTTAGTTAGTTACTTTTCCACGGAATGAAGTCGCTAATCCTATGCCGAACCCTCCTCCTTTATCCGGGCTTTCGACCGGCAGTAACCTCAGAGAGCCCCTGGGCTTGGTTAGGGATACTTAATCAAATTGATAACTAAAGAGGATTGAACAGATTTTTCAGTTTAGTCGATTTGACTTTTTTGAGATACTTTCCCAGACCAATAAGAAATAACCTAATTGAATCGTTTGTTTGGTTGTTCGTAAATGATTAATTTCTCATTTCTATTTTACAATCTACATTTCTACAGATACTAGATGTCTTCAAACCCAAGTCAGAGTGTTCAAACGTTGGGTGAATGCATTACTAAAGCAGGTAAACGATTAGTAATAATTTATTGTTACCGCATACTGTTGTTAAGATGTAGTTTGTTTTCCGTTACATTTCGCAAAAACCAGTTGTTCGAAATAACAATGTTACTTATTGCTGTGTGAGTAGTGTGAACAGGTTCATAATTTTTCATCCGATAACTAACTTCTGACATTGATCTGATCATCAAGAAACTAAGTGGAATAAAGGTAAAAATTAGCAAACTGTTCAGATTTTTATCAATGGATATAATAATGAAGAACTTGATGCCATGTTGCACAGGTTCAAGTTGCCTTACTCAAATCAGACAGTAAATTGAACGAAAAATGTATCGAAAAAATTGAACAATGATGAAGTGAATAAGAAATGCATGAACAAATAGAAATACAAAAATAGGAATAGTTATTAGATACTTGGTGATATTCAATATACACCTATCCAATTAGTCCATAGTTCAGACTAGCACACTGAGAAAGGCAATAAACAAAATAAAGTTCAGATGTGTAGAAATAATAATATTGACAGAAGGGGGAGCTTAATGGTAGGAATACACTTAAATTTGAACAGATAAAATCAAATAATAAGATGATGAATGAATCTGTAATACTATGACCGATTTCATATTGCCAGCTAATATTTTCAACCAACAGTAATGAATTAAAATTGATTGACCACCAAGTAGTGACTGTTGTCATGTTTATCAATCATTTAGTGCTAATATAATCCTATCAGTGAAAAAGTAATGTAGCCATTGGTCTAAATGACTCGACATCACTAGCTTGATGTATAGATTTCTAGTGTTTGGAGCTAGTTGGCTTGATTATATAACTGGTAACCTCGCAGATTGTGAAGTTAGGTGATGCTGCCTTCAATCAAAAAGCGAACATCAGTTCTTTCAATATTGCAGGTATTCCTTACAGACAAGTGCAGAGTGGCACGAGAAATAAATCGAGAGTCTTTTGTTAACTACTTGCAACCACCTAACCGATTCTGCTCATCTGACGGACTGTGAGTATCTTGTTCGTATATTGTGATGCTGCTCCGTTAATTATTCACTTACCTCATGAAACGATGTCACGTCTCCATCTGTTTGAAGCTCAAAAGATTCTCAACATGACTAGCGTCGTTTTGGTAAGGCTCGTTTTAACTGGATAGGTTTTCTAACTCCACACCCAATCCTACTCCTTTATTCTAGTATGGGATCAGAAGTATCCGTATGAGCGTTTCCGGCTGAATCAACGTCAACGTTGCGACTGGTAAAAAAATTTTACATCAAAAGTGAAACTAACGATTTATAATTAAAAAATAGAACAACACATTACAAAAATAGCAAATTTGAACGAACGAGATAAAAATAATTATGCACCTTTAAGAATATCTTTCAAAACTGCCTTGGATTGTCAAGTAAACCATGTCTGGAATCAGTTACTGATTTACAGAAAAGTTTCAACACCTACTGGACATGTTATTGGAATTAATTAATTTCAGTCTTCGGTACTTTTATAATTATGGTTCATATACGAATGTAACAATAATTCTTTTAACATTACTTCATGAGCACAAATTCATATGCATAAATTCAGACATATTTTTCGATAAATGCATGCCTATATGATTATTCATTTCTATTGTTTCCCTAGGCAAATGCCAAAGAAATCAATGATGTATTGGAAATATTCACTGATCATGAAAATTTGTATAATTTATGCAAATATTTAGCCAGTCAAAAAGTAGCGTGTGTAAGTAGTATATCAAAATAAAAAAGAAATTTGACTTCTTGTCTTGACATTGATTTATCATTCTCATTTCAACTTAATGTATTGATATGACCTTGTACTGTTAACTTTTATTGGTGATCAACAAATGTTTTTTTTTCAGGCTAAGTACTCTAGTGTCCTGAATGTTCATTCAAGAAAATGTTTTGATATATATATTACATTGTCGTTAACAGAGAAAAAATGTTTTAACTGTTTTGGATTTGAAACAGCTCTAAATTTGATGTTTAGCTAGATTCTCAACAACATCATCATCATCAGCTATATCCTCTGACAGATTTTAACAGCCCAAAAACGATAAGATTTGTAGGAAAAAATGAATTCACCCTATTACAAGGCTTCTCATCAGCTGCACACAACCCAAAGTTACAATTATTCAAATAATTATTAACAAATATGTAGTTGAGATATGAATTCATTTTATTTTGCAAGCCTCATTGTTTTTACTCGGCTCGAATACATATAGATGATTTTGTGGTTAAAAAATGTCAAATTATGCAGTAATTAGTTTGTAACTTTGAGCAGCTTCAGTATTGAAACAACTACTTGTCCAGGTCTCCGTAGTTTACAATGTCCACTTGATGCAACGCCGGTTCGTGATAAAAAATAACTTTACAAAATTATTTATCTTTGGGAAAAATGAACTATTTCAATGACCTTCATGATTTAGGGGAAAAATACTCAAATGTGCTGATTTTTTTAGGAACAATGAACAGAAACTTTATTTCAAAAGTCAATCGTGAATGAATTTTATTACCTACAATGTAAATTTAAAAAAAATTCAGTAAAACATTAATTCTCCAAATTAAATTACATACATGCATTTTTGCGCTGAAGATGATTTAATGAAACTTGGAAAATATTTTTTAAGTTGTGCCGCTTTCATTGAAGACAGTTTTAATAAAGAATTCACTAACCACAGTTATAAGAAATTATTTAAAAACTATTTAAAAACTCGTTTGGAAAAACTGAGTCCAAAATGAGAATATATCAACAATTCAAACCATAAGAAATAAAAAAAATGATCAAAACCAAAACCAGTGGTTAAGCACTTTAGTTTACTGTTGTATGCGTTTGTATAGGCAAGCAGATTTTGGTTATATGAAAACATTTCAATTTGAACATGAATGTAGTTTCTTTGTTCAATTTTCACCAACCGACCAGCTTATTCGCCATCCGTCTCAGCTGTCGTGTTACTTATATGCAGTGGATAGAAAACATATTTATTCAAGGAAAATAATAAAAATTATGTAAATTTTATTTGTTTGCCTAACACTCACCCGTTTATTTATTTGATTTTTTCTTTCCAGAGTAATCAGACATTCGCAGATCATATTCCTCATCTGGAACGTGCAATAACCATTCTAGAAAAATTATACGGGGTAAGAAAGTTATATATATATATATATATATATATATATATATATATATATATATATATATATATATATATATATATATATATATATATATTACGGGGTTGTGAAGATTGTTAAGTTACACATTTGAAACCATGAATCAATCAATGCTAGACTACCATTAGAAACCTGGAAGCACTGGACGGCAGTTTTGTCCTGGTATGGGATCTAATTTTTTAGACTCTCAAAATAGTGTAACTATCAAGGTCAAGTTTATAAGACACGGTGAATTAATGGGGGCTAGTGTGGTAATATCATTTCTGAGAATATTATTTTTCATAATAAATAAAGAATTCTCAAACTGTCTTGCGTAACATTAAGTTCAAAGCAGTTTAGATTTTTTTAAACCGATGATCTAAATGTGAATCGGTCATTAAAGGCGGCTAACAGAAAACCTCTAAATTTTATTCAGTCAGTTATTAGTTCTATAATTAATGGTTTGGAGTATCACTTGTACACTTTAAAGTAACATTCTGAGAGTAACTTCTTTTTATTTAGATATTTAAAACAAAATAGTTGCATGATAGTGTTGAATGTATAAAAGATTAACAGAGAATGCATAAAATATGAATGTTTTTAAATTCATATTCTGAAAGTGTACAATTTAGTGGTCGGAAAAAAGAACCTGTTTGGATAAAAAAAAACTTTAGAAATACGTTCGTAATATTTGATCAACTGTGATGAATAGAAATTTATTGTCATTTCTTTTTTAGAACCTGTAGGTTATGCCAAAACTGGTTTTAGCATTTTTGAGTGTGATTCAGTTTTGTTGCTTGACCATATTATTTTGATTTTACGTCTTTGGATTTCCATGGATGCTCTCATTGGTTGTTAGTTTTCATCCTAAACTTACATCTGCTACAATTCCTGCTAAATTAGAGTTTGTTAGGAGGTCTTATCATTATGACCTAAAATTAATCATCAACATGCATCCACAGCCAGAAATTTCATAGGTTTTAAGGACTACAGTGTCTCTTAATGAATAAGTTCGAATTTAATAGTTAACATTTTAAAGTTCACTGAACTAAATTATTAACATTTAGACATATTCTTCGAACCCTTCGAAATCTTCACTTAATAACTCATATAGTGTATGTGTTCGCGGTGCGATGTTAAGCTTCGCTTCATGCAGCCTGTGCTTTACTTGGTCGATTAGGTTTAAGGTCAAACGCTTAAATGTACGATGGTTAGGTTGGATGATGCCTTTGTCATATGTGCTGAAGACTATGACTCTAATGAAATAATGAAAGGGTTCAACAACGGACAACCACTCGATTACGTTCACATTAGAAGTGGAATTGAATTCTGAATTCCAATTTTTGACGTTTTACTAAAACGGAAACCAGATGGGTGTCTACAGCGATCGTTGTATGGAAAGCCGACCTGGAATAGGTAGTATGCGAACTTTCAAAGTTAGGTGCCGCTAAAGTGAAGAGGAATTTAATTCGTTTCCTATCCTCGAGAGCTAGACAAATATACACCAAGATATATCAGATGATGAGCTGATTATAATACAGAGAACTTTTCTGGAGAGTGGCTTCCTGTTCTGGATCATTGACAGTAATCCAAAATCCAAACTTCAGGTTGAGAGTATTTAAACTGTTCTGAAGAAAGTTTTATTTGAACCTTTGGTAAACTCAGGTCATAGTCCACCATGTGATTCATCCCATAGTCTAAATACATACTTGGATTTTTACAAATTATGAGTGATAATCACTACCTTCGTCTACTTCTCTCTTACAAAGTAGACAATTATCTTTAATTTTTATTCTATAGATTTTTACCTCTTAATTCTTCTAATGTTTTTTCATTACTTTACCAAACGATGTAGCCTCTTTTTAATGAGCACTTAAAAAATTAATTACACTGAAATAGCACTCTTCCATTTATAAATTATTATTATTATATTCAATACTTGAAACCTTTTTACAAGCTGGACCATATTACGCAACAGCATCATTTTTATTATTTTGCACTTGAATTAATTTTCATTATTGTTGGTTATTTTATAAAACTACTTTACTACAGACTACTGCGTGAATAATTACCTATAAATACACTTGTGCAACTCCAGAAAATGATTAGCATGAAGTTCTCAGTAAAAATTCTGCCACCACGTATATTGCTTTTTTTATTAAATGAACGAGAAGATGCTTGTAAATGCTAAACAGTGAAAAAAATGTATGGTTAACTTGACACAACTATCAATTTATTTTATGTTCCATTAATGACATGATTAGTATAAAGTGCGAGAATTTTAAAAAATTTATGAAGTATCAAAAACTATGGCAGCTTAAATGTGATTTCTAAAGAATTCCATATTCGATTCATAGAACCTAGTATTGCCAAGTACATCTTTCTTATTGTTTACGCATTTATTTTACTCGTAAATACAGTTTGTAAGAAAACGTCATATTGTTTAGTAAAGAAGTCACCTACTAATTACCAATAGATGATTATAGACAATGATTTTGGTTATATAGAATAAAATGAGACTGCAATTTGAATACTGTTCATTTCAATGTAAGATGAGATTTATATAGAATATTTTTTAAACCTAATATCTTCAAGTTTTACATGACACAAAGCATTGTCTAGCCACTTAATAAGTATGTAATAGTTCTACATTTTTCATTTTGACCAATTCATGATATACTGATAAAAATGGTTTTCACATACTAAATTCATGAATGATCACTTTGATGAGGTTGAAACGGGAATTGAGCTGCAACAAATTGCTCCTTGCTTTTCATTATTTCCCCAGATTATTTTAATATGTGGAGACCGAAACATTAACTTTTAACAGTACTTTTTCAAACAGATACTATACTAAATCTTAAGTTAGATGTACATCTGGGAATCTTTCTAGTGTTTGTAATTCTGAACATTTTCATATTCATGTATGCTTAATTTTGTTCCAGTGACGCATTGTACACATCAATATAAATTTATAGAAAATAACTGGAGTAGACAAATTTTAAAGACGTATCTTCTAAACATACCGTTACATGTTTAAAGTATTTAAGAATAAGTCAAGTCACAGAATAGATTTTAAGCATTCGGGTACTTAGTTTAATTGCTAAGATGTTTACTTCATTGCATACATTTTCATTCTGTGTAGACTGGAACATGAAAAGTTGTCTGCCCAATGTTTTTTCTAGTTTTCATAGTCAATAAAATTTTAATTAAGAGTGACTTTAAATTGCATTTATGTTTGTTTGAGAAGCACATCACCATTGAATGTGGATTTTATAATACTCCTTTCAGGATATATATGTATATATATTCTTAGTAAGATAATCAATCTATCCTTTTGAGGTATACTAGAATTCAACCCAACACGTGTTCAGCTTGACTTCTTTTTACCACTGATGTGAAATTTAAATTTACTGATAAACATGAACAAAATTTATGTGTAAAACGTTTTGTTGTAAGTTATATTTACAAAGGAAATCCTAGCTAAATTTTATAGCGCTGTTTTTATGTGTAATTCGAAGTATACTTAATTATACAGTTTCACATTTAATAAACCTTTGACCCTTGCTTATTTTGTTTAGTCCAGTTTACCTGAAGACTAAAGTCTGGTCAATGAAGTTGACTTGCAATATGATGTCTAAACATGTATGATTTTGTAAAGATTAATACTTTTTCTATAACTGTATCCGATTTCATAAAATGCATCCCTGTGTGTATATTGTGCAGTCCTGTGTCTTCATATGTATATGTAGCACATCTTATTTACTGGTTTATTGATCGAATATTTTGCTACGTATTAAAATTCATGTTGAAAGTTGCATGCCTGCTTTTACATACATATATACATACAAATTACATCTCTGTCTGTATGAAAACGTATACATAAAGCACTCTTACATTTCTTAGAAAGTGTATGCATAAACAGCAGTAATAATACCGATCGATAAAACCTGTTATTAGACTATGTAGGATTCCTTCTACTTGCTTCTTAACTATATTTTTGTCGGGAAATGTTTATTTATCCACATTTAATCATGAATTAAGAAAATTTATTCAAAAATTCGTTGAAATTAAAAGAAATAGTTAGCTTAAGATATTTAATACAGTGTTGTGAGAGGTTATTACTTATAAGTAAGAGTTTATCCCGTCAATTTTTTGTTTTCTGCTAAGGTCCAAAAATAAAATTGAAATATCCCCAGACTGGATTTTAATTATTTGGGAGAATCTCGATTGAATGACTGGACAATACATTAGCCTAGTTTGTATTTTGTCGTATGGAGTCCATTCCAATGTACTTACTTGAACGACAAATGAATTAATAGCCCAAAGGTCAATTGAGAGTGAGATATCATCCTATGATGAGATTAGTACCATGCCAAAAAATGGAAATCAACACTTCATTTAAACCGCTCTTAACTACATAAATCACTATGGGTTATAAAGCTCAAAGTGAACAGATCAACTAAAATAACTTTATTGTCATACATGTATCGTTACTATGTGTGATAACTTGGAAAGGTACACTTTTCTGTAGTATTACTTATCGTCTTGTTTTGTCTCTCTGATTGTCTGTTGTGTTTAATTAGTAGACACTAGACAACTGAACACGGTACATATTTTGAGCTAAACTAATCAGTTCTTCATCGAATGCGTCTAGGGATACACATTTTTCACATAATTCAGCTAACCCCCTAAAATGTTTGTTTTCAAGTGACAAATGTTATGGGGAGGGAAACAAGACACGGTGAAAAAAATGGAAGCTTATTTTGGAGACATTGTTTTACCTAATTCAGAGCCAGCTAGATGATAGCTTTTATTTTTTGTTGTCAATCTAAATTCTGTAAATCCTAAGCTTTCGGTGGTGGATGATCTATTGTCATACTCATCTTTATTCCAAAATTATTGTAACGTGTTTATTTATTCATCTGTCTTTTCTCATAATTCTAATCAGGAATAAACCAAATAGTGCTCCAGACGACTGGTCTTCGTTCTCTGTCTTTCGCTTGCTAGCCTATCCAGTGATATAATAGTTTTCTTCCTCTGCCTAGGCCGTTTAGTCGTAACAGAAATCATGTGCCACTATACACAGTGGAGCACGTGTTAATCTCTCTCCCCACCCCCACTCGTTCTTCCTGTTCTGCAAAGACGAGATATTCCCGTGCTTCACTGTGTAGAGTGGCACATGAGTTCTGTTACGACTAAACGGCCTAGGCAGAGGGAAGAAAACTATTATATCACTGGATAGGCTAGCAAGCGAAAGACAGAGAAAGAAGACCAGTCGTCTGGAGCACTATTTGGTTTATTCCTGATTAGAATTATGAGAAAAGACAGATGAATAAATAAACAAGTTACAATAATTTTGGAATAAAGATGAGTATGACAATAGATCATCCACCAACCGAAAGCTTAGGATTTACAGAATTAGATGACAACAAAAAATAAAAGCTATCATCTAGCTGGCTCTGAATTAGGTAAAACAATGTCTCCAAAATAAGCTTCCATTTTTTTCACCGTGTCTTGTTTCCCTCCCCATAACATTTGTCACTTGAAAACAAACATTTTAGGGGGTTAGCTGAATTATGTGAAAAATGTGTATCCCTAGACGCATTCGATGAAGAACTGATTAGTTTAGCTCAAAATATGTACCGTGTTCAGTTGTCTAGTGTCTACTAATTAAACACAACAGACAATCAGAGAGACAAACAAGACGATAAGTAATACTACAGAAAAGTGTACCTTTCCAAGTTATCACACATTGTAACGATACATGTATAACAATAAAGTTATTTTAGTTGATCTGTTCACTTTGAGCTTTATAACCCATAGTGATTTATGTAGTTAAGAGCGGTTTAAATGAAGTGTTGATTTCCATTTTTTGGCATGGTACTAATCTCATCATAGGATGATATCTCACTCTCAATTGACCTTTGGGCTATTAATTCATTTGTCGTTCAAGTAAGTACATTGGAATGGACTCCATACGACAAAATACAAACTAGGCTAATGTATTGTCCAGTCATTCAATCGAGATTCTCCCAAATAATTAAAATCCAGTCTGGGGATATTTCAATTTTATTTTTGGACCTTAGCAGAAAACAAAAAATTGACGGGATAAACTCTTACTTATAAGTAATAACCTCTCACAACACTGTATTAAATATCTTAAGCTAACTATTTCTTTTAATTTCAACGAATTTTTGAATAAATTTTCTTAATTCATGATTAAATGTGGATAAATAAACATTTCCCGACAAAAATATAGTTAAGAAGCAAGTAGAAGGAATCCTACATAGTCTAATAACAGGTTTTATCGATCGGTATTATTACTGCTGTTTATGCATACACTTTCTAAGAAATGTAAGAGTGCTTTATGTATACGTTTTCATACAGACAGAGATGTAATTTGTATGTATATATGTATGTAAAAGCAGGCATGCAACTTTCAACATGAATTTTAATACGTAGCAAAATATTCGATCAATAAACCAGTAAATAAGATGTGCTACATATACATATGAAGACACAGGACTGCACAATATACACACAGGGATGCATTTTATGAAATCGGATACAGTTATAGAAAAAGTATTAATCTTTACAAAATCATACATGTTTAGACATCATATTGCAAGTCAACTTCATTGACCAGACTTTAGTCTTCAGGTAAACTGGACTAAACAAAATAAGCAAGGGTCAAAGGTTTATTAAATGTGAAACTGTATAATTAAGTATACTTCGAATTACACATAAAAACAGCGCTATAAAATTTAGCTAGGATTTCCTTTGTAAATATAACTTACAACAAAACGTTTTACACATAAATTTTGTTCATGTTTATCAGTAAATTTAAATTTCACATCAGTGGTAAAAAGAAGTCAAGCTGAACACGTGTTGGGTTGAATTCTAGTATACCTCAAAAGGATAGATTGATTATCTTACTAAGAATATATATACATATATATCCTGAAAGGAGTATTATAAAATCCACATTCAATGGTGATGTGCTTCTCAAACAAACATAAATGCAATTTAAAGTCACTCTTAATTAAAATTTTATTGACTATGAAAACTAGAAAAAACATTGGGCAGACAACTTTTCATGTTCCAGTCTACACAGAATGAAAATGTATGCAATGAAGTAAACATCTTAGCAATTAAACTAAGTACCCGAATGCTTAAAATCTATTCTGTGACTTGACTTATTCTTAAATACTTAAAACATGTAACGGGATGTTTAGAAGATACGTCTTTAAAATTTGTCTACTCCAGTTATTTTCTATAAATTTATATTGATGTGTACAATGCGTCACTGGAACAAAATTAAGCATACATGAATATGAAAATGTTCAGAATTACAAACACTAGAAAGATTCCCAGATGTACATCTAACTTAAGATTTAGTATAGTATCTGTTTGAAAAAGTACTGTTAAAAGTTAATGTTTCGGTCTCCACATATTAAAATAATCTGGGGAAATAATGAAAAGCAAGGAGCAATTTGTTGCAGCTCAATTCCCGTTTCAACCTCATCAAAGTGATCATTCATGAATTTAGTATGTGAAAACCATTTTTATCAGTATATCATGAATTGGTCAAAATGAAAAATGTAGAACTATTACATACTTATTAAGTGGCTAGACAATGCTTTGTGTCATGTAAAACTTGAAGATATTAGGTTTAAAAAATATTCTATATAAATCTCATCTTACATTGAAATGAACAGTATTCAAATTGCAGTCTCATTTTATTCTATATAACCAAAATCATTGTCTATAATCATCTATTGGTAATTAGTAGGTGACTTCTTTACTAAACAATATGACGTTTTCTTACAAACTGTATTTACGAGTAAAATAAATGCTATAAACAATAAGAAAGATGTACTTGGCAATACTAGGTTCTATGAATCGAATATGGAATTCTTTAGAAATCACATTTAAGCTGCCATAGTTTTTGATACTTCATAAATTTTTTAAAATTCTCGCACTTTATACTAATCATGTCATTAATGGAACATAAAATAAATTGATAGTTGTGTCAAGCTAACCATACATTTTTTTCACTGTTTAGCATTTACAAGCATCTTCTCGTTCATTTAATAAAAAAAGCAATATACGTGGTGGCAGAATTTTTACTGAGAACTTCATGCTAATCATTTTCTGGAGTTGCACAAGTGTATTTATAGGTAATTATTCACGCAGTAGTCTGTAGTAAAGTAGTTTTATAAAATAACCAACAATAATGAAAATTAATTCAAGTGCAAAATAATAAAAATGATGCTGTTGCATAATATGGTCCAGCTTGTAAAAAGGTTTCAAGTATTGAATATAATAATAATAATTTATAAATGGAAGAGTGCTATTTCAGTGTAATTAATTTTTTAAGTGCTCATTAAAAAGAGGCTACATCGTTTGGTAAAGTAATGAAAAAACATTAGAAGAATTAAGAGGTAAAAATCTATAGAATAAAAATTAAAGATAATTGTCTACTTTGTAAGAGAGAAGTAGACGAAGGTAGTGATTATCACTCATAATTTGTAAAAATCCAAGTATGTATTTAGACTATGGGATGAATCACATGGTGGACTATGACCTGAGTTTACCAAAGGTTCAAATAAAACTTTCTTCAGAACAGTTTAAATACTCTCAACCTGAAGTTTGGATTTTGGATTACTGTCAATGATCCAGAACAGGAAGCCACTCTCCAGAAAAGTTCTCTGTATTATAATCAGCTCATCATCTGATATATCTTGATGTATATTTGTCTAGCTCTCGAGGATAGGAAACGAATTAAATTCCTCTTCACTTTAGCGGCACCTAACTTTGAAAGTTCGCATACTACCTATTCCAGGTCGGCTTTCCATACAACGATCGCTGTAGACACCCATCTGGTTTCCGTTTTAGTAAAACGTCAAAAATTGGAATTCAGAATTCAATTCCACTTCTAATGTGAACGTAATCGAGTGGTTGTCCGTTGTTGAACCCTTTCATTATTTCATTAGAGTCATAGTCTTCAGCACATATGACAAAGGCATCATCCAACCTAACCATCGTACATTTAAGCGTTTGACCTTAAACCTAATCGACCAAGTAAAGCACAGGCTGCATGAAGCGAAGCTTAACATCGCACCGCGAACACATACACTATATGAGTTATTAAGTGAAGATTTCGAAGGGTTCGAAGAATATGTCTAAATGTTAATAATTTAGTTCAGTGAACTTTAAAATGTTAACTATTAAATTCGAACTTATTCATTAAGAGACACTGTAGTCCTTAAAACCTATGAAATTTCTGGCTGTGGATGCATGTTGATGATTAATTTTAGGTCATAATGATAAGACCTCCTAACAAACTCTAATTTAGCAGGAATTGTAGCAGATGTAAGTTTAGGATGAAAACTAACAACCAATGAGAGCATCCATGGAAATCCAAAGACGTAAAATCAAAATAATATGGTCAAGCAACAAAACTGAATCACACTCAAAAATGCTAAAACCAGTTTTGGCATAACCTACAGGTTCTAAAAAAGAAATGACAATAAATTTCTATTCATCACAGTTGATCAAATATTACGAACGTATTTCTAAAGTTTTTTTTTATCCAAACAGGTTCTTTTTTCCGACCACTAAATTGTACACTTTCAGAATATGAATTTAAAAACATTCATATTTTATGCATTCTCTGTTAATCTTTTATATATTCAACACTATCATGCAACTATTTTGTTTTAAATATCTAAATAAAAAGAAGTTACTCTCAGAATGTTACTTTAAAGTGTACAAGTGATACTCCAAACCATTAATTATAGAACTAATAACTGACTGAATAAAATTTAGAGGTTTTCTGTTAGCCGCCTTTAATGACCGATTCACATTTAGATCATCGGTTTAAAAAAATCTAAACTGCTTTGAACTTAAAGTTACGCAAGACAGTTTGAGAATTCTTTATTTATTATGAAAAATAATATTCTCAGAAATGATATTACCACACTAGCCCCCATTAATTCACCGTGTCTTATAAACTTGACCTTGATAGTTACACTATTTTGAGAGTCTAAAAAATTAGATCCCATACCAGGACAAAACTGCCGTCCAGTGCTTCCAGGTTTCTAATGGTAGTCTAGCATTGATTGATTCATGGTTTCAAATGTGTAACTTAACAATCTTCACAACCCCGTAATATATATATATATATATATATATATAACTTTCTTACCCCGTATAATTTTTCTAGAATGGTTATTGCACGTTCCAGATGAGGAATATGATCTGCGAATGTCTGATTACTCTGGAAAGAAAAAATCAAATAAATAAACGGGTGAGTGTTAGGCAAACAAATAAAATTTACATAATTTTTATTATTTTCCTTGAATAAATATGTTTTCTATCCACTGCATATAAGTAACACGACAGCTGAGACGGATGGCGAATAAGCTGGTCGGTTGGTGAAAATTGAACAAAGAAACTACATTCATGTTCAAATTGAAATGTTTTCATATAACCAAAATCTGCTTGCCTATACAAACGCATACAACAGTAAACTAAAGTGCTTAACCACTGGTTTTGGTTTTGATCATTTTTTTTATTTCTTATGGTTTGAATTGTTGATATATTCTCATTTTGGACTCAGTTTTTCCAAACGAGTTTTTAAATAGTTTTTAAATAATTTCTTATAACTGTGGTTAGTGAATTCTTTATTAAAACTGTCTTCAATGAAAGCGGCACAACTTAAAAAATATTTTCCAAGTTTCATTAAATCATCTTCAGCGCAAAAATGCATGTATGTAATTTAATTTGGAGAATTAATGTTTTACTGAATTTTTTTTAAATTTACATTGTAGGTAATAAAATTCATTCACGATTGACTTTTGAAATAAAGTTTCTGTTCATTGTTCCTAAAAAAATCAGCACATTTGAGTATTTTTCCCCTAAATCATGAAGGTCATTGAAATAGTTCATTTTTCCCAAAGATAAATAATTTTGTAAAGTTATTTTTTATCACGAACCGGCGTTGCATCAAGTGGACATTGTAAACTACGGAGACCTGGACAAGTAGTTGTTTCAATACTGAAGCTGCTCAAAGTTACAAACTAATTACTGCATAATTTGACATTTTTTAACCACAAAATCATCTATATGTATTCGAGCCGAGTAAAAACAATGAGGCTTGCAAAATAAAATGAATTCATATCTCAACTACATATTTGTTAATAATTATTTGAATAATTGTAACTTTGGGTTGTGTGCAGCTGATGAGAAGCCTTGTAATAGGGTGAATTCATTTTTTCCTACAAATCTTATCGTTTTTGGGCTGTTAAAATCTGTCAGAGGATATAGCTGATGATGATGATGTTGTTGAGAATCTAGCTAAACATCAAATTTAGAGCTGTTTCAAATCCAAAACAGTTAAAACATTTTTTCTCTGTTAACGACAATGTAATATATATATCAAAACATTTTCTTGAATGAACATTCAGGACACTAGAGTACTTAGCCTGAAAAAAAAACATTTGTTGATCACCAATAAAAGTTAACAGTACAAGGTCATATCAATACATTAAGTTGAAATGAGAATGATAAATCAATGTCAAGACAAGAAGTCAAATTTCTTTTTTATTTTGATATACTACTTACACACGCTACTTTTTGACTGGCTAAATATTTGCATAAATTATACAAATTTTCATGATCAGTGAATATTTCCAATACATCATTGATTTCTTTGGCATTTGCCTAGGGAAACAATAGAAATGAATAATCATATAGGCATGCATTTATCGAAAAATATGTCTGAATTTATGCATATGAATTTGTGCTCATGAAGTAATGTTAAAAGAATTATTGTTACATTCGTATATGAACCATAATTATAAAAGTACCGAAGACTGAAATTAATTAATTCCAGTAACATGTCCAGTAGGTGTTGAAACTTTTCTGTAAATCAGTAACTGATTCCAGACATGGTTTACTTGACAATCCAAGGCAGTTTTGAAAGATATTCTTAAAGGTGCATAATTATTTTTATCTCGTTCGTTCAAATTTGCTATTTTTGTAATGTGTTGTTCTATTTTTTAATTATAAATCGTTAGTTTCACTTTTGATGTAAAATTTTTTTACCAGTCGCAACGTTGACGTTGATTCAGCCGGAAACGCTCATACGGATACTTCTGATCCCATACTAGAATAAAGGAGTAGGATTGGGTGTGGAGTTAGAAAACCTATCCAGTTAAAACGAGCCTTACCAAAACGACGCTAGTCATGTTGAGAATCTTTTGAGCTTCAAACAGATGGAGACGTGACATCGTTTCATGAGGTAAGTGAATAATTAACGGAGCAGCATCACAATATACGAACAAGATACTCACAGTCCGTCAGATGAGCAGAATCGGTTAGGTGGTTGCAAGTAGTTAACAAAAGACTCTCGATTTATTTCTCGTGCCACTCTGCACTTGTCTGTAAGGAATACCTGCAATATTGAAAGAACTGATGTTCGCTTTTTGATTGAAGGCAGCATCACCTAACTTCACAATCTGCGAGGTTACCAGTTATATAATCAAGCCAACTAGCTCCAAACACTAGAAATCTATACATCAAGCTAGTGATGTCGAGTCATTTAGACCAATGGCTACATTACTTTTTCACTGATAGGATTATATTAGCACTAAATGATTGATAAACATGACAACAGTCACTACTTGGTGGTCAATCAATTTTAATTCATTACTGTTGGTTGAAAATATTAGCTGGCAATATGAAATCGGTCATAGTATTACAGATTCATTCATCATCTTATTATTTGATTTTATCTGTTCAAATTTAAGTGTATTCCTACCATTAAGCTCCCCCTTCTGTCAATATTATTATTTCTACACATCTGAACTTTATTTTGTTTATTGCCTTTCTCAGTGTGCTAGTCTGAACTATGGACTAATTGGATAGGTGTATATTGAATATCACCAAGTATCTAATAACTATTCCTATTTTTGTATTTCTATTTGTTCATGCATTTCTTATTCACTTCATCATTGTTCAATTTTTTCGATACATTTTTCGTTCAATTTACTGTCTGATTTGAGTAAGGCAACTTGAACCTGTGCAACATGGCATCAAGTTCTTCATTATTATATCCATTGATAAAAATCTGAACAGTTTGCTAATTTTTACCTTTATTCCACTTAGTTTCTTGATGATCAGATCAATGTCAGAAGTTAGTTATCGGATGAAAAATTATGAACCTGTTCACACTACTCACACAGCAATAAGTAACATTGTTATTTCGAACAACTGGTTTTTGCGAAATGTAACGGAAAACAAACTACATCTTAACAACAGTATGCGGTAACAATAAATTATTACTAATCGTTTACCTGCTTTAGTAATGCATTCACCCAACGTTTGAACACTCTGACTTGGGTTTGAAGACATCTAGTATCTGTAGAAATGTAGATTGTAAAATAGAAATGAGAAATTAATCATTTACGAACAACCAAACAAACGATTCAATTAGGTTATTTCTTATTGGTCTGGGAAAGTATCTCAAAAAAGTCAAATCGACTAAACTGAAACATCTGTTCAATCCTCTTTAGTTATCAATTTGATTAAGTAACCCTAACCAAGCCCAGGGGCTCTCTGAGGTTACTGCCGGTCGAAAGCCCGGATAAAGGAGGAGGGTTCGGCATAGGATTAGCGACTTCATTCCGTGGAAAATTAACTAACTAAAAAAAAAATAATGACCAGAACCTTGACATTAGCTCATAATTAAAATTATCTTACTCCTAGCCGAACGAATTTAATGAAAATTCAAATCAAATCTTGGTCAACTACTATGAGTTATAAAGAGTAAATATCTAATTGTAAACAAAGAGTATTAGTGATATAATAAACTAGTTTCATACAGATAGTGTGCTATACATTTTCTGTTTTTCTCTTTGTAGGAAAAACACAAATTATAATTGGTTTGACATGTGATCGAAAATTTACAGCCTCATAATTGCAATCACATAAAATATAAAATAAAGAACAGTTTTCTTCTTATCTGAGAGGAAAAATTGCTATTTGAAAATAATATTTTGTAAATCTGAGATTAAATTATTTACAATTTTTTACAATTCAATTTAGTGAGTTGCATAATTGGTACCAACTGGTCTAATTATTAATTTTAAGCCAGTGAAAATGGAAATAAATTTATCATACCATAAAGAAAATGTATTGGCAATTTTGAAGGAAGAAAATTTCACTTTACAATCATTCTATTTACATAGAAATAATATTATATTCAAATAAATAATAAAGAGACTTTATACCTTCATTAAAAATTCTTCACTAAAGCAAGAATTCATGATTCGTTAGAACTAAACAAAAAGTCAAATATATCTATAGAAATATAATAGTTATTCATAAGGTTGAAATTACTAACGAGTGTACATTCTTTTATAGTCATTTCAACCCACTTGAATAACACGCTAGACGAATTTCATAACGATGATACTCAAGAATTTGCATAAAAATTTACATTTTTGAAAGAATCTAATCCTTTAAGTTCCAAACTGCCTTCGGTAAACAGTTATCAGTCTGTGTTATTAGTAAATCCTAATTTTTGGAACATTCCTGTCAAGTAAACTCCATACAGTTAATTTACGAAATTACTTACAAAGTCAAGTAAGTCGACCTAAAAAAAAATCGGGATTTAAACGATTATTACTGAATAGGTAATAACATTTCACTCATTCAAGTCATAATTTAATGTGACGTATTTTATTCTTAAAGCTACAATTCAGCGGAGATATAACTACAGCAACAGAGAGGACATTTAATGCAGCTAACATCTGTCATTTGTTTTCTAACTGACCTATGAAGATTACTTAATCAAAAGATTAATTACCTGGTTTTACCATATCCATGTGTATCTACGGATTCAGCTGTTCCTGTAGAAGAAGCAATATTAGACATACAACAAGACAACTTAACCAATGAATTAATGAACACAGTCAAAACAATACGCGACCTAGTTCTATCACACTTGATCGATACTCGTCATATAGTGGATAGAAATAAATCATTTAAAGCAATTTATTGTTTATCTGGGTATTTTTGAAGTTTGATCTCGTCTCTTACACGTAGCAAAAACTTTAGGGAATCGAGCTAACAATCCAAGTCACTGTGTTCATATGAAATTTGTAACACCTCTATTATTTCCTTGATCGAACTGGCCTTAATAAAAGATTTTTTTCGTTTACTTATTACCATCATTTTCTATACTCCTTATCTGTTCGAGTATTTTTCTTCATATCCTTTTTTTCTTTCTTCAAATATACCTATTACGTAATCTATAATTCTAGTGGATGCTATTCAAGCATCTAGTTTTCTAAGCTGTTTGGCCTTCTTCGTATTACGAAACCTTGATTTAGGCATCAGCAATTCTTATCATAACCGGTACACCTATCATAACACTGTCAATTTGTACTTTTGATTCTACACTTATTACTGACTGGTAATTGCCGTGATCGGTTTGTTAATTTCATATATTCATATAAGCATTATTATATATTAGACAAGAGAGAGCAATGAAGATCTAACCGATCACAATACTGCTTACTTATATGGGAATTTTTAATATATTTCGTGTCTTTGATTTCTTTAGATTTTATTATGTTTCGCTCACTCCATCATTAAGTTCCTGTCCCATTTATTCCCAGTCATACTTAAAGTAACCAGTGATTTGTTGGAATCATAATGTTAAAACCTATCTTGAAATTCTCAAGCAGTTAACTAAACAAAATACAAATCATCTCTTTTACTCCTAGTCACTCACCATGAATTATCCTGTGAATTCTCTATATTGGCCAGTATGGTAACAATGTCGTCGCTGTTATTTCACAAACGAACACAAAATAGCCAGTGATATAACAAGGAAAATATTTTGCTGAATCATATCAACTAAATTTGACCAACTGACGAACATGAACTAGTATATCTCTAACATAACCAACTATTCTAAATTTATTAATTAAATATATTATTTCTGATAATATTAATTCCGATTGAATGATGTACAGTAATCAGTAATTTGCTGAATATATATAAACCAAAGATTATGAATTATAATGTCAAAACAACGTAAGCTATTGAAGTGCTTTAATTGAGAATAATATTTCAGATACTTTCCATATTGATTCTAATAGTTTAGTATTCTAAAACTTCGCTATGGAAATCAGTAAACATATTATTGTAAGAAAAATGAATGAATGAATACAATGAAAAATAAACCCCCTTTCAAATTTGCTTTATTCATATTAATCGTGATTTCGTCATCAGCATTATTATTATTATTATTAGTGGTTAGTAAATTTACTGACACTGTTTTCTGGAGAATTTTTATAACTTCATAGTAACCGTAACAATGACAGTGATAGATATCAACTGGAAAATAAATCATCTTGTAGTTGGATGGTTGTTTTATTCTAAGTCAGAAGTCGTCATTAAATAAATATAGCATCTACACATATTTGTGTCTACTTTTTATTCGAAAAATATTTTGAAGAATTCCATGGAGAATTGTTTTTATAAAGCTTATGAATAAACTGAACCTAGCAGAGAGAAATCTATAATTCCAATAACCTTTACATAGAACTAATAGAGGAATCAACGATGTGTACGTCAGGTAAACCAATGACAATTTGATTGGAACTACATTTAAAGATGTCTCATAAACTAAGTTTAAAAATAGGAATACAAGCGTAAGGACTGGATAGCCTATTGACAATATTAATGAATATACGATGAAAAAATGTTCAGCTGTTAAAAAGATTCAAGTTCAGAAAAGTTTACCCGGCAATATTCACAGAACTATGTAGGTTTATTGCTTGTGAAAATACTGCTTCGAAGATTATACTTAGCTATGCATTGATCATAGTTTGCATCATAGTTTATAATCATTACTATTTGTAATTCATGACTACTGTTTGTATAGAGTTTAAGTATGAGCTATAATAAGATTATCACTTGGTCATAGTTCGACTTTTGGTGATATTATATGTGGTTGAATAATTAAGATGTACTTCGCATCGAAGGCCTAGTGCTCGATTTGGTATGGATTAGTGAGTTTACACTCTTAAGATATATGAATTTAGGGTGCAATTATTGTTTAGTTTAAACTGGTTTTTAGTAGTTTTTCATTTGTTATTACTTCATAATTGAAACATTGTAAAACTGGCTAAACTCTTTATTCCACCTCACTGAACAATCAAGTTCACCTAAGCTATAATTGGTATACTCTGTAATTATATACCTGTGAATTACTCATCCTAATACCCTATAAATTTGCCACTGGAAAGCTTATTTTTTTCCGTCCTAGCTGTTTACTATAGCCCAAAACAATTTCTAAACGTCAGGTAGAACAACAGAGAAAGAGCGCACAATGTGAATGAGAGCTTTGCTTCAAAATTATTTTATGTACAGAAAATCCAGAGTATACAGAGGTGTATGTGATCTTCGCCTTCCAAACACTTATTGAAAAATACTAAATATCGTAACGGTTCAGGTAACTGTCCAATCAAAAAGCACGATACATAATTCCTTTTTTATCAAAGTATTTCTGAAGAGATGCTATTCAATACCAATTAGACAGGACGTTCTGTGATGATTTTTAGGCTTCTAAAGATTTTGACGATAGATATTTTTGGATACTCCTGCAACAACTATAAAGGATATCACTTTAAGATATGTCATCATCAGTGGAGAACAGAGAGTGTTGGATCAGTCTGCTTTCCAATGACTGATAGTTAATTTGTTCGAAATCTATACATGTTTACCTTAACGATATCACACTATAGGATCACAAATACTGTTATTGACTTATCTAAACAATCACAAATCATCTAAACAGAAGATATTGTCTAAATAATTTAGATGACTGGGACATTATTAAACCGTATTTAATTATGGATACATTTAAAGTATCTTAAGTGATATCATTAAATGAGATGAACTGACAGTATAAACATGAAATACCATTCGCACTTGCATTATCTTAAGGGATTGCATTTTGTTAAACTTAAAACCGAAAAATCTTGCACTATATTTATAAGTAAAATGAGACAACGGTTTAAATTACTTGTTTTTTTATATAAACTGTATACTAACATTATATCATTCAAAGTTACGAACTGATGCAAAAGTGATACTTTCTGAAAACTGAAGAATATTGTAGAATTATTCTTCTCCAATTTAACATGTCTCATGTGTACACCTAAGAGTTGTCCATTTATATATTTATATAAATACACTCATTATCCATACAACATTTTCATCAGTTTACTAATCGCATTGAATATACTTTTATATTGATTATAATAATAATGAATACATCTATATCATTTCATATCGACTAATCTACGAATCAATTAACATTATTTGTTTACTAGCTGTACAGAATCGATTATTTTATATTACAGATAAGAAAAAAACAACGCACAACAAATTATCATCATAAAATATTCATTAAACAAAACTGTACAAAGAATACTAGCTAAAGTAGTTAACAAGGATTATTGATGGATGTTTGTACAGACGACGAGTAGAATATGTCATTTTAATGAACGACATAAATTAAAACCATGATTTTCTGAGGTACATAACTGTTAGGTAGTAGGCCAATTATTTAAAGCTATTGATGTA